CCGTGTGTGTGTGACTCACTCTGTCTGTGTGGCTGGGGGCAAAACTAGGGATGGGCAGTTGCTGCATTCGTCTCTGACTCGGTGTTCCAGCCCAAGACCATCTGGCAGGTGAGCTCTCATTGGGGTGTGCAGGTGACAGTGTAACTACCCAAGCGGTGTGATTTCAGATCGTTGCATTGCATAGCACCACTTGAGAATTCTCTTTGCATTTCAGTGCGGTGAAAAGTGGAGAGTGTTCGTTGATTTGCTGTGTCGCACCCTCGTGACCTTAAACTGGTTCTGAACCCTCACAAAACAGCACAGCACAACTGATTGGAGCATGCATTGCACTGTGTTGCAGGTTGCTTCCCGCTGTGGTGCTCCACCTGCATGCCATTCCTCCTTTCTCCTGACGCCCTTGCACTGCTGCATCACACCCTCACGCCCTTGCCCCGCAGGTGGTGTGTGGAACCATGGGGCTGCCCACAGCGACGGTGAAGCTGGTGGGGCCGGACGGGGTGGAGCAGATCCAAGCAGCCATGGGCACGGGGCCTGTGGACGCTGCGTACAAGGCCATCAACAATATCATTGACGTGAGTTCCTTGAGGGGTGTGAGTGGGCGCCAGTCGTGCAAGTGGGTGCAGTCAGCCTGAACTGCAAGCGCCCATGGGCACGGGGCCTGTGGACGCTGCGTACAAGGCCATCAACAACATCATTGACGTGAGTGGATTGGGGCGTGTGGTTCGTTCGAGCGTGTGTTTTGTGAGAATTCTCGAAGCACACACGCTCGATGGGGAAGGAGCTCTTTCGCAGCTGGGCACGTGGGTGGTTTTCCTTGGTGCTGTTATCGCTGTTGTCATGTGAATGGGAGTGTGCTTTGACGGAGGACGCTGACGCCTCCGCATGCACAAGCCCTGTGATTGGCTCCTTTTCTTCCCCCGTGTGACACGGTACCCCACCTCTGCCCCTGCCGGCTGACTGTGGAGCTTACAGATTACTACCTGTCCTCAGTCAGGAGGGCATTGATGCCCTTGCACGCATGCACGTTGCCATCCACTCCACTTCCGCCCCCTCACTCGCACCCCCATTTGCCAATCCTATTCGTTTCCCCACCGCTGCCTCCACCAGTTGAACGTGGAGCTCACAGAACACTCCCTGTCTTCGGTCACGGAGGGCATCGACAAGATCGCGTGCACGCGCGTTGCCATCTGCTCTGTTCCCCCCCCCCCCCTCACATGCACCCCCTCACCTGTGCCCCATCTGTGCCCCCCCAAACAGCTGAAGGTGGAGCTGACAGAGTACTACTCCCTGTCGTCAGTCACCGAGGGCATCGACGCCCTGGCCTGCACAAGGAGGGTTGTGATCGCCGCCTCTCTTCTCCCCATGTGCCACTGAACCCCATCTGTGCCCCCTCAACCAGCTGAACGTGGAACTGACAGAGTACTCTCTGTCGTCAGTGACGGAGGGCATTGACGTCCTCGCCTGCACACTCGTTGTGATTGCCCATTCCCTTGCCTCCATCCGCTAACCCTTCTGCACTCCCCCAGCTGAATGTGGAGCTGACAGAGTACTCCCTGTCATCAGTCACGGAGGGCATTGACGCCCTGGCCTGCACGCGCGTGGCCATTCGCTCTACCGGGGATGCGCACACCGCCACGCACTCGCAGCATGGCAGCATTGAGAGGACCTTCAGGTGCGAGGGTTGGACTTGAGGTGAGGGAATGGGAGGATTAGGCGTGTGCGCGTTCAGGGTGGTCCTCTGTGGTACGTCAAGTATTGAGGCATGCACACCTCTACTGGGGATGCACACACACACACACACACACACACACACACACACACACACACACACACACACACACACACACACACACACACACACCCCGCCACGCACTCGCAGCATGGCGGCATTGGGAGGACCTTTTGGCCAGGGGAGGGGATGCTGAGGTGAGAAGTGAGAGGACCTTCAGGTGAGGAATGCAACCAGTGAGAGAGCTTTCATGCTTATGACTGGCATGCAGCCCTTGGCCTTCAGTTGGTTCTGTTGGATGGTGTCATACTCAATTCTTTTTTAACCCGGTCTTCTCTTTCTTGCGTCTTTGCTCCCAACCCAATCTCTCGGCTAAACACCTCCAGTGGCAGCGGAGCTGACGAGGACATTGTGGTCTCATCTGCCCGCGCTTACATAAGCGCCGTCAACAAGATGCTGGGCTTTGGTGACTCCGCAGCATCAATTGCGAGCCGGCACCATGTGAATGTAGCGTGATTGGTTGGAGGGGAGGGGAGCATCAAGTCGACTCGCGTCACTCGTGAATGTACTAGACTGAGGGAGGGTGGCACGGCAGGGAGCAGCCCTGAAAGCAAGTGAAAGCTGTTGCGTTTAGAAGGGACGTGGGTCATACAACAAAGAGACAAAGAGGGACAGAGAATACAAGCATGTGCAATCAGCGGCCACAAAGTAGAGCGACCACTTTTGTAACCAGTTACGGTACTTGTTAGTTACGGTAACCAGTCGAGTATTATCTGCACAGACAGACTCCGTTTTTCAACAGAACCATTATAATCACCTCACCACATGCAAGCAACGTTGCTCCTCTTTCTTGGATAGCAAGCATACATTCTTTGAGAGAATTACAGAACGCTACATCCCTTGAGCAAATGACATAATTTCGATAAGGGTTGACACTGCGCCTGTTCTAATGTTGGAGCAAGTATATGTAGGTAAGTACTAAACGATACAGCCTTGAATGTAAGAAATGGCATTACATAATTGTGTAGCCTAAACCCTGAACTCAATTGCTGCTCTGCTGCTAGCAACCTCCAGGTGGTCTAGGCTATAAGGGGCTTGGTTAAGAGCTACGTTCTTCCTATGTAAGCCAGTCGCCAATAGTTTCTTTTGAGGTACTTGTAACAATGCCCCCTCGTTGCTACGTTCTACCTCTGCTACTCTAATCGCACTTAGAACGGCACTTCTTGGCCTTTTTCTTGCACTTCTTGTACGTGTGCGTGCACTTGTGGTGCTTGTGCTCGTCGTCCTTGTTCTCGCGCTTGCACTCGCTGTAATCCGTGTTGCACTCCTTGTTCTTCGCCTCGCAGTCCGACTTGCACGACAGCATGCGGTGCATCTCGCTCGACCACAGGAACCGCCTGCTCGCGCCGAAGAGGGCTTTCACGACACCTGGAAACAGCCAAAGGCAAAGAGGGAAAACATAAAATGATAACGTTTACAACTCCACGGTGATAGGCGGGTCGAGGCAAGGCGAGGCGGGGGATGGAGCGATGGCGAAAAAGGGAGACACAAGGGGATGGAAAAGAGCTTAGGTAACACACCGGAAGGCGACGCGTCGGCGACGTCTGACACATCGTCGTCGGCGTCGTCTTCAGCGACGATCTCATCCGCGCGACACGGCGCCAGCGCGAAGGATACGAGCAGGGAGAGCGCTAGCAGGACGACTAAGGCCTTGGACCGCCCCATGGCTGCAGCGGGTGATTATGAACGGATCAGAAAAGAATGCGCCTTGCGCTGGAAGAGGAAGCTTGAGGAAACGAGTCTTGCGAGAATCTACTAGGCTGGAGGAAAGCCGGATCTGATGAGTTCCTTCAATTTGCGGGGCTTTTTATAAGTGCAGTGGGCAGCAAGCGTAGACCCCGCTGAGCACGGGTCTACATCGTGCCGCTGATACGGTAAGTCGGCCGTTGGTCGGTGATAAAGGTACCTGTGGCGTGTTTGGTCGGTGTGTCTTGATCTGGACCACATGAGGGTGCGACCGCTAAGGCGGGATTGGTTGGTACGGGGAACTGAGGGAGAAGCGAAAGGGAGATTTTCCTGCTGCCTTTTTGTTTCGTGCGTTGCATGGGAGGGGAGGGGAGGACGTGTGCTGAAACGAAAAGCGAAATCGAACCGCACAATCAACATGTGTGCTGCGACGCGTTCCCGATGCGCGGCGCCAGTTTCCATCCAGCTCAATCGAGTCGTTCAAGCGAGTTTGTTGTTCGGCACGGGATATTCTTTTCCGGGCTGAGATTGGCAAAGTCTCTAGTTTCCCCAGTGTGGATACACGTTGCTGAAACGAGTTATTTTCTTAGCTCGTATATAGCTTAATGTTCTTTTACAGTGCTACTTCAAGCCCGCGGGCAAGAAGAGATGATGCGATGCCGTACGAAACAAACAAGGTTAAACGTGAATTGTTTCGATAACGCTGTAGTTTCCAGTTATTGAGTGCTATGTCCAGTTTGAAGTTTAAATGGGTTTCATATGAGGGCGGCATTCCATGATGGTAGTTGACTATTAATGCAGCGTGTTGTGATGCACATGGTTTAGAAATAATGTCTGTGCTTGCATTGATGTTGCAAATTGCTCCGCTAAATCATGATTAGAATGGAGTTGCTATGTACTTATACTAGGAATTGCAAACATATGCACTACTGGATTCTGTACTCTGTAATCGCAGCTTCTGCATATTTCATTCAAAGCGAGTATGAACATTCAGAACCCCCTGGCACGACAGGTGGCGATGGCGATTGCCCACCAGCTCCTCACCCTTTATCCCGCATGGCGCGTCGACCTCGAGTTACTGTCGACCCGCAAGCGCCGGCGATTCGGGATTTCTCTCTTCCCCCTCCCTTGTACTGCTCAAACGCCCCTTCAATTGCGCATAGATGGCGAAACGCGGTGACAATTCGTCCTCCGAGTTACCACCCGTGCATCACGTCGTCGGCGCTATTGACGAGCTCGATGCGATTTCACACGCACTGAAAGGCGCAGGCCCATGAGAGCCGCTTGTTCAGCGGCGAGCCCTTTTATCAACCAGACGCCTTCAACCCGCTGTCTGTTGGTCAGTACCAAATCTTTCCAGTTTCCTCGCACCGCGAAGCCTTACTGTATCCTCCTCCAGTTCCTCCAGTTTTCAGCGATTTTCCAGTTTTGATTTCCGGTTCCTGTTGTTTAAACGAACTGTCTGCGACTTCTCTCCCTCATCCTCATCCTCACCTCACCCTCACCCTCAACCTCCCTCGCCACCATGCAAGACGTCAAGCCGCAGCAGCAGGACGAGCAGAAGATCCGCCAGCGGCCGCAGGAGGCGAAGGAAGTCCCAGTCGCATCCGCCGCCGCGCACCCCCTGGAACTCCCGGTCGAAGCTGACGTGGACTGGCAGGAGACGGCGGGGCGGCAGGTGGACGCGGGCGTGACGGGCGGGATCGACGAGGAGGAGACGGCCGGATGGCAGGCGGCGTTGGGCGCGGAAGAGGTGCGGGCGCTGCTGGCGGGGGCGGGGGCGGGGACGACGGAAGGGCGGAAGAGGATGGGGGGAGGGGGAGGGATCTCGGGGGGAAAGGGGGAGGGGAAAGGAGGAGTGGGGTTGGGGGGAGAGGGGGTGGAGGGCGAGGGAAAGCCGTTGGGGATTGAGGGGGCGGCAGCAGTGCTGGTGCAGGCAGAAGGGGGGGAGGAGGGAGAGGGGAAAGGAGGAGTGGGGTTGGGGGGAGAGGGGGTGGAGGGCGAGGAGAAGCCGTTGGGGATTGAGGGGGCGGCAGCAGTGCTGGTTGGGGGAGGAGGGGGAGAGGGAGAGGGAGGAGAGGTGCCGTTGATGCCACCTATGCCTGGAGTGCTGTCAATGGGTGGTGTGTTGGGAGGAGCTGAGCACATGGCCGCCTCCACTTGGAGCGGTGCTAAGGAGGTGAGTGTGGTGGTGTGCGGTGGAGTGAGGTGGAGTGGATCCGGGCAGTTGTTGTTCCTGAGACGTGCCGGTGATGCCGTCTATGCCTGGAGTGCTGTGCATGGGTGATGTCATGAGAGGAGCTGAGCACATGGCCGCCTCCACTTGGAGCGGTGCTAAGGTGGTGAGTGTGGTGGTGTGCGGTGGACGTGCCGTTTGTGCCTCCTACGCCTGGAGTGCTGTGCATGGGTGGTGTGATGGGAGGAGCTGAGAAGGTGGCCGCCTCCACTTGGAGCGGTGCTAAGGAGGTGAGCGAGGTGGAGTGGGGTAGAGTAGTTGGGTTGGGGTGGAATGGAGTGAGGTGCGGTTCACTCAGTGCACTATACTAGCATGAGCGCAACACCTGCATGCCCCTTCCATTTCCTGATTGCCTTCTGTAACTTGGCATCTGCTATTCAGCGCTGCTGCTGCCATGGCTGCTCCTACCTTTATAACACCTTTCTGTCCCTTTATCAACCCCACCCCCCTGCCTCTGCAGGCCGTCGCGTCTGCCGCTCACAACACCGCCGACACCGCTGCTGCCGGCACAGCAGCAGTTGGGAGAGCCGCTGCGGGCATGGTGGGACTAGACACCAACGCCCCTCCCATCGGCATTCCCCTGGGCTCCTCCTCTTTGCCCACAGCCACCGATGAGGCACAGATGGGCGCCGCTGCTCTTGTCGCAGGAGAGACAGCGCCTGCAAAGGATGTGCAGTCTGGGAGGACGGAGCAACCCAGCAGCCACTGAAACATGACCGAGCAGAGAAGGGTTTTCAGTTCCGTGCTCGTGTTAAGTGCTCGTTGGAGGGGTATGAGCTGGTTACGCGCTGCTAGGGAGGTTGCTTGTGCTTGTATGACACAGGGCCTTGTGGTGTGTTGTGGTGTGGTGTGGTGTGGTGTGTGTGTATCTTTGTCATACCGAGAGACCAGCATATGCATTCGAAATAGTGGTCACCTGGAGATTAGGCCTGACGAAGGCTCTCCACTGGTTTTGCATGGCTGTTTGTTTTGCTTCATACGGTAGAATCAGCGGCACATGCCAACGGCGAGGTGAAAAGGAAGCAGGAAAGCCACGAAGCGAAGCGCAACGCATCCTTGCCACTACATGGGAGCACAAAAGTATTGCACAAGCAGTTGCTGCAGCTGCAGTCCTGTCCTGCGCTCCACTTCACACCCAACACATGATATACCCTTGGAACAGTATCAGTTGCACCGTACATCCCTTTCAGAGAAATAATAATATGCTTCCTTGACCGCCTAGTAACATCTCTTGCCATCTTGCATGCTGCCCTGTTTCAGGGGCCAAAAGAATCACGTATTGACCACGCAGTCACTCAGGGATCGCACTAATCGTGCTATCTCGCTTGGTGCTGCTGCTCCTGCAGCCGCTGCTCGTCGTACCTGTCATCCTCTTTGAGAAAGCACCTCCAGTTCTTCTCAAAGTGACGTCTTGAGCTGACTCAATACCCATCGTGTGCTATCTTGCCTGCTGCTGCTCCTGCACCCGCTGCTCATCGTATCTGTCGTCCTCTCTCAGAAAGCACCTCCAGTTCTTCGCACAGTCACCTCTTGAGTCGACTCAATACCCATCGGTGCTATCTTGCCTGCTGCTTCTCTTGAGGCCGCTGCTCATCGTATCTGTCGTCCTCTCTCAGAAAGCACCTCCAGTTCTTCATGAAGCCACGGTCGTATGGGTTGTGAAAATGCGTTGTCTGCTCCCCTGATGCTGCTCTTGGCATGCATGCAACAGGGATCCATTTGTAACATGCATGCACATGAATGGCACGTACACATGCATGGTGAGTTGTGGCATCGCATGTTTGTGACATACAAAAGCCATGAAGTTTTGTGAGCCTAAGACTGGAAGTCATACCCTCACATAGCGTGGCATCACATGGCATGCCATGCAATGCCATGCAATGCCATGCTATGCCATGCAATGCCATGCTACGCCATATTATGCCATGCCATGCCATGCTGTGCCATATTATGCCATGCCATGCCATGCCATGCTATGCCATGCCATCCCATGCCATGCCATGCCATGCCATACCATGCCATGCCATACCATACCATGCCATGCCATACCATGTCATGTCATATGTGATGCTGTGTCACTCACGCAAGATGGGCGGTCCTTCATAGTGCATGTAAGGAACCTTCCTCCATCGGGCCTGGTGGGAGCATTGGGAGCAGCAGGCAGTGCCATGCACAGGGAGAAAAGGGAAAGGGGGTGAAATGCATAGAGCTGAAGAGGGAATGGGGAGACATGAGTTGGAGGGAGGGCACGTGAAATACATAGGGGAGAAACGCCATTTTCACAGGATGCCAACCCTCCCCCTCTCCCCCGGTGCGGAAAGACCATGAGCAATCACATGCAGTAGGGAGGGGTGAATCGATGCTTCCAACTTCAGTTCCCCGTTTGAATTGGATAGCTGAAGATAGATCAATCAATGGGGACAGCTGAGAAGCAGGTAGACAACAAGGAAAGAGGCATGCATCTTACTTACCCACTCGTAGGTGGTTATGTTTTGACTTATGAAGAAGAGATGGAAGAGGAGAAGGGGAGCCTGTAAGCAGACAACGGCACGACAGAAAGGGGAAACCAGAAAAAAGAGAGAAGGGGAAGCAGAAGGGCCACCAAAGAAATGAAATAGATGCAGAAAAAAGGAGAAGCAAGGAACGGACAGGGCGAGGCGAGGGTGTGAGAGAACATGAAAACGGGAAGCTGAATGGTTAAGACGAAGAGCAGGAGGAGGAGGAAGAACAGAAGCAGGTTGAAGGTAGGAAAGGTGAGTTACCTGCCAGAGGGGTTGGAGGTAGGAGAAGAGCATGAGTAGCACCACCCATGGGTGCTTCAGTAGTGCCTGCAGCACAGAGGGGCGCAGCAGAGAGGAGGAGGAGGAGGAAAAACAAAATCAGGTTGGAGGTAGGGAAGGTGCATCACCTGCCAGAGGGGTTGGAGGTGCGAGAAGAGCACGAGCAGCACCACCCATGGGTGCTTCAGTAGTGCCTGCAGCAGTGCTGGGACAGATTATTGCTGGTTGCCGGGTGTGTTTACACAATAGCAGCGTGAGCTTAAAGGCAGTGAGTGTGTGCACACAGTGCATGCGAGTGCAGTGAGAGTGAAAGTGAGCGCATGCAGTGAGAGTGAGTGGAGGGCAGTGAGCATGAGTGCAGTGCGGTGAGCATGAGTGCAGTGCGGTGAGCATGAGTGCAGTGTACCTGTAGGCCAATGTGGTAGAACATCTCGATGCTTCTTAGAGCACCCACTGAATCACAGATGCGCATGGGAGAGGAAGAGAGGGAAAGGGGCACACGGGAGCAGCAAGCATGACGTGATTTTTGAGGCGCCTCAAAAGTCGTCTCATTACCCGAAAGGGGCACACGGGAGCAGCAAGCATGACGTGATTTTTGAGGCGCCTCAAAAGTCGTCTCATTACCCGAAAGGGGCACACGGGAGCAGCAAGCATGACGTGATTTTTGAGGCGCCTCAAAAGTCGTCTCATTACCCGAAAGGGGCACACGGGAGCAGCAAGCATGACATGATTTTTGAGGCGCCTCAAAAGTCGTCTCATTACCCGAAAGGGGCACACGGGAGCAGCAAGCATGACGTGATTTTTGAGGCGCCTCAAAAGTCGTCTCATTACCCGAAAGGGGCACACGGGAGCAGCAAGCATGACGTGATTTTTGAGGCGCCTCAAAAGTCGTCTCATTACCCGAAAGGGGCACACGGGAGCAGCAAGCATGACGTGATTTTTGAGGCGCCTCAAAAGTCGTCTCATTACCCGAAAGGGGCACACGGGAGCAGCAAGCATGACGTGATTTTTGAGGCGCCTCAAAAGTCGTCTCATTACCCGAAAGGGGCACACGGGAGCAGCAAGCATGACGTGATTTTTGAGGCGCCTCAAAAGTCGTCTCATTACCCGAAAGGGGCACACGGAGCAGCAAGCATGACGTGATTTTTGAGGCGCCTCAAAAGTCGTCTCATTACCCGAAAGGGGCACACGGGAGCAGCAAGCATGACGTGATTTTTGAGGCGCCTCAAAAGTCGTCTCATTACCCGAAAGGGGCACACGGGAGCAGCAAGCATGACGTGATTTTTGAGGCGCCTCAAAAGTCGTCTCATTACCCGAAAGGGGCACACGGGAGCAGCAAGCATGACGTGATTTTTGAGGCGCCTCAAAAGTCGTCTCATTACCCGAAAGGGGCACACGGGAGCAGCAAGCATGACGTGATTTTTGAGGCGCCTCAAAAGTCGTCTCATTACCCGAAAGGGGCACACGGGAGCAGCAAGCATGACGTGATTTTTGAGGCGCCTCAAAAGTCGTCTCATTACCCGAAAGGGGCACACGGGAGCAGCAAGCATGACGTGATTTTTGAGGCGCCTCAAAAGTCGTCTCATTACCCGAAAGGGGCACACGGGAGCAGCAAGCATGACGTGATTTTTGAGGCGCCTCAAAAGTCGTCTCATTACCCGAAAGGGGCACACGGGAGCAGCAAGCATGACGTGATTTTTGAGGCGCCTCAAAAGTCGTCTCATTACCCGAAAGGGGCACACGGGAGCAGCAAGCATGACGTGATTTTTGAGGCGCCTCAAAAGTCGTCTCATTACCCGAAAGGGGCACACGGGAGCAGGTTTTTGAGAATTCTCAAAAACCAGAAAGGAAGAGACGCAGGCATGGGAGTAGCGAGTATGTGGGCAGGAGAGAGGAGAGCAGGGCGAAAGGGCAGGATAAGGAGAAAAACATTTCGTTTGGAACAAACTTATAGTTTTATACAACAGTGAAGAAGGGTGCAGGTTGGCTGATTACGGAAAAAAAAAAAATTCTCAGCACATGAACAATGCCAGGTAGCACATGATAAATCATTGTAAGTGCAGATACAATAGCGAAGTGAGTAACATGCATTTGCCGACGTGATAGTGTGGGTGAATGGCACGTACGGTTGGAGAAGATGAGTGGCTGGGTGGAGCGCAGCTCAAGGAGATGGTGTGAGGCTAGGACTGGTGGAGAGTGGTGGAGAGGATAGGGGAGGAGTGTAGTGGAGAGGGGTGGAGGTGATGGAAGGGAAGTTGAGAGGAGTGGTTTGAGGTTGACAGGGATGCTGATTATGCAAGCTGAAGACATGTGTGGTGGCAGGGAGTGGTGGGACGGAACGAGGAGAGGCGGGAATTGAAGAGGCAGGAATTGAAGAGGCAGGAATTGAAGAGGCGGGAATTGAAGAGGTGGGAATTAAAGAGGCGGGAATTAAAGAGGCGGGAATTAAAGAGGCGAAAATTAAAGAGGCGGGAATTAAAGAGGCGAGAATTAAAGAGGCGGGAATTGAAGATGCAAGAACTGCTGAAATCATTTACATCACTCATGCACTCACATGCACGGCAACAGGTTGCGAAGGTGGGCTCACCAAAGATGAACACGAAGATGAGGAGGAGGGTGAGTGTGAGTGCATCACCCCCTCCCATGCATGCGAGGGCATGAATACATCACGCATCCACTCACAGGCACGGCAGCAGGCTGCGAAGGTGAGTTCACCAGCCATAAACACGAGGATGAGGAGGAGGAACAGCCGGTGGTTGCGCCGACCTGAAAGGCGTCAGAAGAGTTTTTGACAAGAGAAATATGTGTCAGAAAAAAAGAATCTTCTGAAAGAATGCGTGTCAAAATGTTCTCCACAGAAACGCACCAAGTCAAGAATGTTGTGACTCACAACTTGTGATCATGAGCGTGACGGATCAGTCTCACAATAACACTCATGAACACAAGTTAGTTATTGAGTCCCGGGAGGTGAACGGGGGAGGAGAGTGAAGGAACCAATGGTATGCCAGGCAAAAAGCAACTGTGCAACTCAAAAGCCAGAGTAAAAAATCAGAGACAGAATCCAAAGTCATAAATTCACAAATTGTCAAACTCAGAGTCCAAGTCAAAGCCAAAGCCAGAGCTCAGGTCAAAGTCAAGGGTATGCAACAAACACAAGGCATTACAGCCTGATAGTGTGCTATGGCAGTGACAACCACGATGCATACACAAACCAGACAATTATGCGCTAATGGTCATAACCACCAGGGACGATCATCACGTGCACATGGCAAACCAGGGGGATGAAAAAAAGGTCTGTAACCAGCATGCGTTGTGCGTGCTTATAACGAGTCATACCCACGCAGGTGCCTGTAGCGGGGCAGTGGTGGTCGTATCGGTCCACACAGCGATGGCACTTCCAGCAGTGCCGCGACCGCGCCCACCGCCACAGCTGAACACAGAGAGAGGGTGTGAAGACGGATGGAGGATAGGGCAGGGAGAGAGCAGTGTCATGCGTCATGTGCCCATGTTGATCCACACAGCGATGGCACTTCCAGCAGTGCCGGGACCGCGCCCACCGCCACACCTGCACGCACGCAAGGGAGAGGGGACAGATGGAGGATAGGGGAGGGGGAGAGTGGTAAACCATTTAAATGGCATGTGCAAAAGGTCAGTGCCTTCCATGTGCGTCCCCTTCGGCCCATATCCGGCCATACCTGTCCATACACCTTCATACCTCTCCATACTTGTCCATACCTGTCCGTATCTGTCCATACCCATATCTGCCCATTCCTGCCCAAATCTGCCCACAATTCTCTTTCCACCTCTAGCAATCCGACAATGCGTTAAAAAATGATCTCTTACCAGTGCATTATCAGCAGTATGTTACAAATATGTTCCTCAGTGTGTCATAAAGGTGCAATGCTCATGAGTGTGTTACCTGTAGTGGTGGGCTAGCAATACTGCATTACTCACATGGCACTCGTGGCAGTAGTCGCTCACATGGCACTCGTGGCAGTAGTTGCTCACATGGCACTCGTGGCAGTAGTTGCTGGGTTGCCAGAACCACGACCACCACCACGCTGCTGCTGCTGCTGCTGCTGCTGAAACTGCTGCAGCTGCTGCTGCTGCTGCTGCTGCTGCTGCTGCTGCTGCTGCTGCTGCTGCTGCTGCTGCGACGACTGCTGCTGTAGTTGCTGCTCTTGCCGTTGGATTAACGGCACCTCCTCTTGCTTCTCCCCTTGTTGCTCTGCGTGCGGACCTCCTTGCAGCAGCGGCTGCATGTGCACGTCTCCCAGTTCGACCCTCGTGTCATCGGGTCCTTGATGCTGGACCATCACACGGCTGTTGCTGCCTGCTCCAGGCTGCTTGTCCACTGCCAACGTCACACAGCCAATGCCATCCTGAAGAGAATACAACCAGGGGTAACACAGGCGGGGGGGGGGAAGAGGGGGGGAATGGCAGAGAGTGGGGGGGAAAGTGGGTTGAGATTGCCTGTGTGCCATAGTTGAGGTATCCCAAAATCTATTCGGATATATCTATATATATATGTGTATATACTTTTGTTTCTTTTCCTTCTCGAAAGTGACTCGGAAACAGTGACAGTAATCTTGCCTTTTTGAAGCGACTGCTGATAGGATAGAGCAGCTAATGTATTGACTGTGCACGTCACGAAGCACACAAAACAACTAACAAACCTTAAACCCTAAACCTTAAACCCTAGTGCTTTGCGGACTTGATCTGGTGACAGGAATAGCACATCGATGCAGATGGGATGTGTTGTGCTGCATGAGAAATAGGGGCGAGAACAAAGAACACGTGCGCGAATAAACACGCACGCACGCACGCACGCACGCACACACACACACGCGCGCGAGCGCGCGCAGACACACGCATGCACACACACGCACGCACGCACGCACGCACGCACGCACGCACGCGCGCGCGCGCGCGCACACACACACACACAGAGAGAGAGAGAGAGACACACACACACACGCACACAGGCGCGTGCATGTGCGCGCACGCACACACACCCACGCACGCACACACACCCACGCACGCACGCACACGCACACATGCACACGGCACCCGCACCCACACGCACACACACACACACACACACATACATACACACACACACACCCACCCACACACATGCACACGTACCCACACACACACACACGCAACCACACCCACGCACACGCACCCACACCCACGCAACGCACCCACACACACACGACGCACACACACCCACACGCACGCGTGCGCACACACACAGTCACGACCCCCCCTCCCCTCTACCCCTTCCCCCCCACACACATCGTACGTCATCTGAAGGCGCTGCTCCACCCTCATTCCCTCGTGCAACCAACCCTCCTTGCTGCTGCTGCTGTGGCTGCTGCTGCTGCTGTTCTTCTCGCTGCCTCTGCTGCCACTCTTCCCACTCACTCACTTGCCTGTACCAACTTTGCCACTCCTCCGCACTTCCCTGCCCCTGCCCCTGCCCCTGCCCCTGCCCCTGCCCCTGCCCCTGCCCCTGCCCCTGCCCCAAATCCTGCCTCATTTTCTGCAAATCCTCCTGCTTCCCCCGCTGCTGCTGCCCAGCCCCCTCATCTCCTTCCCCTCTCACACTTCCACTGTCTGCCATCCCGCACCCTCTGCCTTGCACTCCTCCTCTCGCCTCCTCCCCGCACTGCCCCTCACTGCTGGAAATCTGCACCCCATAACCCGGTGGGGGTTCGCCCTTGGGTATGAAACCCGGATCCGTGTGGTAGGTGCTGGGAGGGGGAGGGGGGGCGGGGGAGGGGAGGGAGGCAGGAGCAAGGTGAGAAGGGATCGCACTCCTCTCGCCTCCTCCCCGTGCTGCCACTCACTGCTGGAAATCTGCACCCCATAACTCGGAGGGGGCTCGCCCTTGGGTATGAAACCAAAATCTGTGTGGTAGGTGCTGAGGGCATTGAGGGAGGAGGTGGGGGAGGGATGGAGGCAGGGACAGCGGGAAAAGTGATCGCACTCCTCTCGCCTCCTCCCCGCACTGCCCCTCACTGCTGCAAATTTGCACCGCATAACCTTGTGAGGGCTCGCTCTTGGTTATGAAACCAGGATCTGTGTGGTAGGTGCTGCGGGCATAGAGGGAGGAGGAGGGGTAGGGGATGGAGGCAGGGACAGGGTGAGAAGGGATTGCACTCCTCTCGCCTCCTCCCTGCATTGCCCCTCACTGCAGTGAAGGGGCTGGCAAAAAAAAAAACAACTCAAAGAGGGGGAGAAGGGAGGATGGGCAGGGAGCTGAGGGAGGATAAAGAGGGCATGCGACGGAGCAGGTAGGGTGTTGGTTTGAGCTATTATCTTTCTCCCAACCAGCCAAGTAAGCACGTTGTTGCGCAAAAGCTTCATCGACCTCCGCAAGGTAAGATCATGCCGAATTACACACACCGTGCCGGACTATGCTGGTAGAACAAGCTTTAGGCGCCTCGAAAACTTTGAGGCGCCTCACACGTTTTGAGGCGAATTGACAAAGACTGAGTATGATGGGTTACATGCATGGTGCCTTGCTTTCAGAGGAACGAAATGCCAAGGTGTAAAAACGGAATGGAAACGGAATGGAGGAGAAGTTGAGGCGCACGTGTGGGAGGTCACTCACAGGAAGTAGAGCGGGAAGACGACGGCAACACAGGCATGCACCAACGCATTGAGAAACGCTGAGATGCCTGCACAATGAAGAGAGAGACGGGGAAGGTTATGGAGATGAGGGAGGGGCGAGAAGAGGAGGAAAGAGGGAAGCTGGGGCTTCAATGATGGGCTCATAGGAAGTGGAGTGGGAAGGCGAAAGCGAAGGAGGCATGCATGAGAGAAGTGAGGCGAGAGGGAAAGCCTTTTGAGACGTCTCAAAAGGCGAGAGGGAAAGCCTGAGTGGAGTGGAAAAGGGGAAAGGGGGGAGGAAGGGTGCGGCAGTGTGTGGAAAAGGGGAAAAGGGGGAGGAAGGGTGCGGCAGTGTGTGGGAAAGGGGGAAGGGGGGAGGAAGGGTGGGGCAGTGTGTGGGAAAGGGGAAAGGGGGGAGGAAGGGTGCGGCAGTGTGTGGGAAAGGGGAAAGGGGGGAGGAAGGGTGCGGCAGTGTGTGGGAAAGGGTTGCACGGTCACGGTAGTGGAGGAGAAAGAGGAAGGTGGCATAAGCGAGGAGGTTGATGGGGGGGATGAGTGAGGGGAAAACAAAGGGTGCAGATGGGCATCAAGCAATGTTTTCCACGTACAGTGCCAGGAAGGTCCCATAGGCTATTACCGTGTTGGAACTTGAAAGTGTGTGCGACTCACGGTAGCGGAGGAGGAACAGGAAGGTGCCATAGGCGAGGAGGTTGATGGAGGAGATGACACAAGGGAAGAAGGGCCGCGATGCGATAATGGTGCGTGTGAGCGTTCTGCCCAGCAGCACCCAGATGGTGATGGGTGCGACTGGAAAAATGGAGAGGAGATGTGGGAGGGGAAGAAAATTTGTGTTGTGTAAGAGATAGTGGTGCGCGTGCGCGTTCTGCCCAGCAGCACCCAGATGGTGATGGGCGCGACTGGATGAACAAGCAAGGCATGGCAAGGCATGGACAGACACATGCAAGGCGTGGGATGGACACGCACGTGCATGTAGGGACACATGCAAGCACGCACCAACGATGTGCGCAGCCATGGACACATGCAATCAGACAAGAAGGCATGCACAGTAACGCATGGAGCCATGCGCATACACGCATGGGGAAAGTAAGCATGGGCGCAAATGCAAGTCTCGTGTCAACAGGACCAGAGGGGGAGTGGGGAAAGAAGCGGTGGGGAGGGGAGGGGTGCCGGAAGGAGGGGAGGGGGGAGGGGTGGCGGAAGGAGGGGAGGGGGGAGGGCAGGGGGGAGGGGAGGGGGTTTGAAAGCTCTCCTACGATGTACGCTGCTCCACGCAAGCCTACAGTCACACGTGCATATTGACGTGAAAATGCGCTTGGATTACGATCGTTAAAGGCACGATTTCAGCAACCAGATGTAGCATTTGATCTGTTACCAGCAAATAGTAGCGTCTCGGAAACGGTTCCTCGTTTGCATGCCTCTACGATTCCCGTCATCATCAGGAAAAACCACGCCGGCAGGATCCATGGCAGCACGAACGGCCATGCTGCTCGCAGCGAGGCCGGCAATATCGAGGACAGCGGTCTCCCCATTGTTTTGCAAGAGGTTATACGGTGAATTTGAGTAACCGAGTGAACCAGCTCATTTGCGGCGACATTCCAACGTTGATTGACGGTGTAAACGTTGTTTTCGCACCGTGACAGTTCTGTCCTGGGGACCGGCGACGGGATTGAAACGGCTAGTGCGACGCGGAACGAGGCTTGATTGCGAGTGAGGAATGACACTCACGAATCTAAGATTTGTGAATGCGTGTGGTGTGGATGAGATGGTGTTGTACGCGCTCTTGACGTCCTCGCGAATCACCTACACTGTACGAACTAGTGGAAGATAATCCTACGGTTCGCGAATTACTGTCTTCGCGCAATCAAGTTCAACCAGCCTCCACCGAGCCTCCACTAGGACTGCTCGGCCGGCATATACGGAAACAAATGGATGCAAGATGGTTTGAGTAAATACGTAACGTTTTCATGCGTTACACAGTGGTCTGTTACCCGACCTGATAACCCACCAACCACCTCCACCCCACGGTTTGCAGTTGGGCTGCCACGCCATGCCGAGCCGAGCCGAGTTTCGTTCGTTCAACACGACGAGTTCCACCAACCTCCAACTTCCAACTGAGGAAGTCGTACGGACGTCTTCGGTACGGACACTTAGGGCGGGATGCATCATGCTATTTTGCAGGATCACGATCCCAAGCGATCCTTGCTATAGTGTTTTGTCTTTAGCGTACAGTGTTTACTGTAGCGTTGCTGCACCACGACCCCTGGGGATCGCTACACCAACCACCCAACCACCCTCGACCACGCGGGATCTGAGAGCCTGCGATCACACGTGATCAAGGGTTGAATGTGCACCGCGTGCACACCGAACCTTGTTCGCGAAATATTTTTGTCGCCTAACTACGAAACGAATCAAAAGCGAGGTATAAAACGAAAAGGTTACGAAATCAACGTTGAAACCAGACTGTACATGCGACGCCTTGACCGCGTCTGATTGGTGGTTGGGGATCGAGGGTGTATGGTGCATCATGCGGGGGTGCCGTCGGGTCGTATGGGACCCCGAGCACGCCCAACCCCACAGGATCCCACAGGGTTGCGGTACTAGCATCGCGATCAGGGGGCGATCATGCAAATTCAGCATGATGCACCCCGCCCTTATCGCCGCACTTATCGCCGCACAAACGGATCGAACAATGTATGTACTTGCAGGAAACCCTACCCTACCATCTGGATTTTCTATTCAACCGCTCCGGAACAAGTCTAAACTTTTTTCAACTCCATTCGGACGTACCCTTTGGACCCATCCAAACAACTGACCGTACCGAAGGCGTTCTTCAGCAGAGGGATAGTGTGAGAAATAGCCTTCAGTACGGCGGGCTTATCATATGGTGCTCGTTGCGCTCTCCACGGCTTATCGTAGTTTTTTACTCAGCGCGGAAATTATCGTGCGCTATGTGTTATTGCACGTCGTTTTTGTTTTCTTAACTCCGCTGGAAGTAGGTCTCCCAAAACAGCCGAGATAGCGACGACGTCTCGTATCACCACTAGCGTATACGCCGCTAGCTGCAGACCGCTCTCCATGGCGCCACTCTGCTCGTCAGAGCGAGCAAGCACGCCTCGCGACGGGCCAGACGACGCGACGATAAAGCCTCGAAAATGGCAAGGGGCCGAGAAAATACTAACTATTCACGCGCGCATCGCCATCGCTCTCGTGCTAATGTTCGCCCTCATTGGACTATACACATACTGCATTTCCCTGCTCCTCGTTAGGTATACACGAATCGCCTCCAGTTTCTCCTCTGCCTCCGTTGCTGCTACGTGTCATCCTGACGTGGCAGGCGTCCCCGCGGCCACGTCAGCAGAATCAGGAAAAGCATCCGCGGCCGACGAGTTATTAGCAGAAGTACAGAAGCCGCGTGAGCCAAATCAGCTGCTGCTCGACCCCTCCGCCAGCAATCAATTTAATGGAAATCAATCGTTCGCCTTACGTCAACCGTCCGCTGGGAGTCAACCGCTGTCAGCCGTCGATCAACCATCTCCAACCAATCAACCGTCCGCCGGCGATCAACCGTCTGCCGGCGATCAGTTATTTGCCGCAGCAGCAACCGATTCTTCTCGCCTTCCAGTCGCGGACCCTTCGCCTGTAAACAGCACAACGGCATTCCCTTCAAATCTCACTACCCCAAACGCTACTACCTCAGGCTCAGCAGCTGTCGAAGCGCCAACACAGTCATCGTCATCGTTCGGAAGGAGGTTTGATTCTGGCGTCACCTTATCCGCACACGCGTCAACCCGGGATTCGTTTCTGGCATTGCCATCATCCCGTGATCCCAGTGTCGGATCTCCTCCCACCAATCCCGCTACCGAACCTCCTACCGAACCTCCTACCGAACCTCAAACCGAACCTCTTACCAGCCCTCCTACCGAAGCTCCTCCATCCGAACCTGCACCAAGCCTCTGGACCCGCATCCCAGGCTCCGTGCTCGATTCCCCCGAGAAGATCCAATCCTTCCGAGAAAGATTCGATTGCATAGGCCGCGAGGGCAAGTGGTCCCACTTCGTGTCGCCACGACTGCTGCCATGGCCGGACGAGATGAGCAAATGCGATGCGTATTACCTAGGAAAGGACTCGCGCAACGTGGCGATGCAAGACGCGGATCGCATGGTGGGTCAGTTTCAGGAGGTTGCGAGTAAAATAGACGAGATAATTGGTGGAGGAGACGTGATTCCTGTGAAGCAGGTTAACCAGCTAAAGAAGCTGAAGAGACGGAAGGATGTACTTACGCGTCAGTGGGCCGTAAGAGATACTCTTAAGTACTTCTGGAAGGTTCCAGGAAGCGACGCAGAGGGGCAGGATGGGGGAGCGTCAGGAGCTAGCAACGGCAGCAGCAGATGCGGTGCACCTTGGGATCCGTTCTCCCCTGAAAAGTTTTGCGAGATTATGGACAAAAGAACCATGCTTATAGTGGGTGACTCATTGAACCTGCTTTTAGCGGACGCCATCCGTTTCAACGTGAGACTAGGCGCGAAAGACCAGGACTCGGCCAAGGACCAGGTTACAGCCAAGGACCAGGATGATACTGCCAAGCCCCGAATGCGGTGGGGCGAGCCGACAGGCTACTGCCAGCGCTTCCGAAACGTGACCAAGACGAAGGACCATCGCTGCTGGACCCTTCATCTCTGCGAAGACCTCGGCTTCTCCGTGCGAATTTTCTTCGTCCGCGACTATTATCTCAACTCCACGGAAGATGTGAACGACTTCTTATTGGATAAGAGCTTTGATGAGTCGTGGATGGACGAGATCGCACGGCAGAGCGTATCGATGGTGGTGATGAACCGAGGCGCGCACTACATTGAAGATATGAGCTTTGAGCGGCAGTTGCGCTCCACTCTGCTGGCCCTCCGGCAGAACCACCCTGAACTCCTCATTATCGCACGAAACACCCCCGCCGGCCACCCCGGATGCTGGCTGCACCGGAAGCCGCTTTCCAAGAAGCTTCTGGACCTGCCGCACGATGACTGGCACTGGGACGGGTTTGCGGCGCAAAATGGGATAGTGAGAAGGCTGGTGGAGGGCGTGGGGGGCGTGTACATGGATGTGAATGCATCGACTGTGTGGCGGCCCGATGGGCATGTGGGGCGGTGGGACTGCCTTCATTATTGTCACCCAGGGCCAGTGGACACATGGGTGCAGCTGCTCTTTAATCTGCTGCTGGGGCTGCTGGTACCTGCTGGCTGAGATGCTGCGGCTGGGAGTACAGAACTTCTGGGGCGCCTCAGAAGGCTGTGGGGCGGTGGGACTGCCTGCACTATGATTTGAGTCGACTTAAAAGAATGGGATTGTGAGGCGGCTGGTGGATTGTGTGGGGGGCGTGTACATGGATGTGAATTTGTCAACTGTGTGACGGCCCGATGGGCATGTGGGGCGCTGGGACTGCCTTCATTATTGTCACCCGGGACCTGTGGATACATGGGTGCAGCTGCTCTTTAATCTGCTGCTGGGGCTGCTCGTGCCTACTAGCAGTGGTGGCTAGGAGGAGTGCACTGGCTGGCAAATACCATACCAAGTACGGTTGGCACTGGAGCAGCCTTGTGGCTTTGGCCGTGGGGCGAAGGCTGGTGAAGGGTGTGGGGGGTGTGTACATGGACGTGAATGCATCGACTGTGTGGCGACCCGATGGGCATGTGGGGCGCTGGGACTGCCTTCATTATTGTCACCCAGGGCCGGTTGACACGTGGGTGCAGCTGCTATTCAACCTGCTGCTGGGGCTGCTCATTCCCACTGAGAGTGCGAGGATTTGAGGCATGTGGGGTTGTGGGTGACCTACTGCATGCACTGCTGCAGTCGGCCAGGCCCGGTGGACACATGGGTGCGTACAGCTGCTCTTTAACCTGCTGCTGGGGCTACTGCTGCTCAATGCCTGAGATGCTGAGAGTACTAAGTCGAACACATTGGAGGCGCTTCAGACGGCATGTGGGGTGGTGGTGGGTGAGTGACTGCCTGCAGTGCTGCCAGCGAAAAAAAGTACTACTAGTATAACAGCACGATAACCCGTGAAAATGGCATACCGTAAGCTACGGTATGCAATGCTGGTAAAGAGGTTTGGGCTTCCCACAACCTTCTAATGTGAAGCAATGTTTGGTTTGCTGACCCACCAAGGAAGGTTGAGAATATGTGCGCATTGTTGTACACATTAGAGAGGAGGATTACATGAAATACATTTTAGGAGTGCATTGACTTCAATCTACAGTAATTATTGTGTTTGCGTGAATCAGACTTTAGGGGTTTACCTGTCTCGTCTGCATCTTCTGAAAGTATCGGGAGTAGGGAAAACAACATTGACGGAAATCAGCAGCATTTTGCATGAGAAATGCCACGCCGCACCCTCTGATTGGTCACCGCCAACACAAACTGCCCAAATCTCCGACAGGCTGCGACAAATACAAATTCGCTGACAGAATGGCCTCCTTCCAAGCATTTCCAAGACTTGCTTTCCTGCTTCAGTTCCCAAGCAGTTTTTGCTGAAGCTTGTTCTTATTTCACTGCGCACTACCGCGACTGCGGCACGACTCACGAGCTTCGAAATCTGCAATCTTTCTGTATCAGGACCGACGTAGTCACCCCGAGTTGCTGCAAGTCGCGAGATTTAAGGCGTCCTGACACGTGTAGAGTGCGTCGGGGCAGTGCATTGGAAAGTGCGTCTACTAACGCGGCGCGTGTTTTTAAGAATTCTCAGGAAACCAGCTTGCAGCGCGTCTTATCTCCATTATTCCGTTGCTTTCACTCCTCTTAACGCCATGATGCCGCTGGCCCTCCCACCGCCGTCCGCGGTGACGCCGGTTAGCAATTTACGACTCGTTTCAGTTCGTTCCACGGGACGTCTCCCACTATCCACGCCCGTCGTCCCGTCTTGCACTCCTTGCTGCACCCCAAAGTGCCGCCTTCCGCTTCCGCGGGTTGCCTTGGCGCGCGCAGCTTACCAGCTCCGCGCGCCGCGCGCGCCGAGCGACCAACTTCGCTGCCGCGAGCCTGGTAGTCGCAGGGCGGGATGCGCGCATGCTTCCGCCGCGCGCGGCGGAGGTGAAAGCGCGGAAGCTGCTTATAGCGCGGCCAGCAGCCCGTCGCAGGGGAATGTGACTGTAGTGAAGGAGAGGGAGGGGGAGCAGAGCGGCGGAAAGGGCACAGGAGGTGAAGCGGAGACGGGGAGCACAGGGGCAGTGGCGGAAAACAGAGGGGGAGAGAGTGAGGGAGGGAGTGAGAGAGTGAGTGAGGGAGGAAGTGAGGGAGGGAGTGAGGGGGGGAGTGAGAGGGAGAGGGGGCTGTACACTGAGTTTGTGGAGTACTGTGTGGAGGCCATGGGACAGCACATGCCGCTCTCGCCCATCCCCATTCGGGTATGCCGCTCTCCCCCATCCTTATACGCGTATGGTAAGCATTAAGTCACCTCAAAAGAGGGAAAGGAGAGGGAGAGCGGGCTGTACACGGGGTTTGTGGAGTACTGTGTGGCGGCCATGGGTCAGCACATGCCGCTCTCGCCCGTCCCCATCCGGGTACGCCTGTATTTTGGTTTGCATGGCCAGAGGTAAACGCATAAGGGAGATTCTCAGCTCCTTTTCCTTCAATACCTCCTTCCCCTTCGCTCCTCCCTGCTGTGAAGCGTTCTTTCTCCCCCTCTTCCCCTGTCAAGAACGTTCTTTACCTCCCCCTCCTCGGTCAAACGCGTTCTCTCTCTCAAGCCCTCTCCCCTCCAATCCATTCGATCTCTCTTCTCCCACTGCCCCTTCTTCCACCACGCCAGGCGGACTGGCAGGTGTTGGAGGGCAGTGACGGCGAGGGGGGAAAGGCGTTGTGTCGCAGTGTGGCAGTGAGCGCGCCCAAGATCCGCCTCATGCGCTCCGCTGACATCAGCGCTGGCAGAACCCTGCAGGTGGGTGCTGGGGTGGGTGGGTGGGTGGGAGGGAGGGAGCAGGGCGGTATGGGGGTTGTGGTAGCAGTACTAGCAGCGTGGCAGCAATTGAGTGTAGGTTGGTGGGACCCATGGGGGAGAAGGTCAGTGATAGGATTGTGTTAATAGCTTGTAGTAATCAGAAAGTCCTCCCCTGCTCCGAGTAAAGCCTGCCCTACTTCGGTTTTGAGGGAATTGTGACGTTTCTTTCGACCTCCCCTATTCTTAACCCTCTCCTCCTCTCTTCCCCCCCCCCCCCCCAATCCCCCCTTTCCACCCGCCTCTTCTCCCCCACAGCGCACACATGAGAGATTCAGGTACTGAATATGAAAGCCTTCCCCTGCCGCGAGTATGACTTGCCATACTTCTGTTAAGAGGGCAATGTGACATCCTATGCCATCCCATCCCATCCCATCCCATCCCATCCCATCCCATCCCACCTTTCATGCCCTCCCTTTCCACCTTCTCAACACACACGTGGGAAAACTAGGTGGTGAACCTGATAGCCTTCCCCTGCCCCGAGATTAGATCTGCCATACTTCCATTGGAGGGAGCTTCTAACATCCATCCCTCCACCTCCCCCATTCCCCTCTCACGCACACACGTCGCACGCACAGGTGCTGAATTTGATCGCCTTCCCGCGAGGTGACTTTTGAGTCAACTCAAAAGTCACCTCGCGCAGGTGCTGAATCTGATCGCCTTCCCGCGCCCCAAGTACGAGCTGCGCCATAATTCTGTTTCGAGGGGCCTGTAACATCCCATCCCATCCCTCCCTTTTACGCCCTCCCCTCCCCCCCTCCCAACACACGCAGGTGCTGAACCTCATCGTCTTACTCCACCCCGAGTACGATCTTCCATACTTCTGATTCTAGGGCCCTGTAACCTCCTATCCCTTCTTCCCGTTCCCCAACCCACAACACTCCCATTCCACGCACAGGTGCTGAACCTCATAGCCTTCCCGCGCCCCGAGTACGACCTGCCATACTTCTGTTGGAAGGGCCCTGTAACATCCCATTTCCCCCGTTTATGCCCTCCTGTCCCCACCTCCCATGGCACGCACAGGTGCTGAACCTCATCGCCTTCCCCCGTCCAGAGTACGACCTGCCATACTTCTGTGCCGACCTCGTCACCTTCCCCCGGGGCCACCTCATCGTTCTGTGAGTGTTCTGTGCCGTGCTCAACAGTCGTCAGCGGTCCTGAGTGGTACTTCTGTGCTGTAAGTGCTCAGTGCTCGTCACCTTCCCCCGGAGCCACCTCATCGTGCTGTGACTGCTCTGTGCTCAACGGTGCTCAGCGGTGCTGCGTGGTGCCTCAGTGGCACTGAGTGGTAACCTAGCAGAACTCAGCGGTGCTCAGCGGCGGTAGTGCGCAGCGCTGTCTCAATCTTCCTGCCAAATGTCTGTCATTGGATCCAGCCAAGATTGAGGGGATCCAGCCAAGATTGAGGGGATCCAGCCAAGAACGAGGGGATCCAGCCAAGATTGAGGGGATCCAGCCAAGATTGAGGGGATCCAGCCAAGTGCTTTCACTCTGCTATTCTCTTCCCTTTTGCTGCTTGTGCTACACTTTCTTTTGGTCACTTGGTATGTCATATCTCCATCCAACAAACCTTCTGTATTCCCCCTCCCTCCCACTTCCCCTTGCAGGGATCTGAACCCGTTGCATCAAACTGAGGAGCATTTCAGCAAGTACATTGCGCCCATGATGCCCCTCGCCAACAAGTATATAGAGGTACTGCTGTGAGATAGAGGGCAGTGGTGTGCGGTGCTGTGGGGTGCTGTGTGGTGCTGTGTCTTTTGAGCAGTACATTGAACCCATCATGCCCCTCCCCAAAAAGTAGATCCAGATACGGTTGTAAGATGTGGGTGGTAGTGTGCAGTGGCGTGTGGATGGTGTGTGTGTGTGCGTGCGTGCGTGCGTGCGTGCGTGCGTGCGTGCGTGCGTGCGTGCGTGCGTGCGTGCGTGTGTGTGTGTGTGAGTGCGCATGCGCGTGTGTGCGCTTGTGTGCGTACGTGCGTGCGTGCGTGCGTGCGTGTGTGCGTGTGTGCGTGCGTGCGTGCGTGCGTGCGTGCGTGCGTGCGTGCGTGCGTGCGTGTGTGTGTGTGTGTGTGCGTGCGTGCGTGCGTGCGTGTGTGCGTGCGTGCGTGTGTGCGTGCGTGTGTGCGTGCGTGTGTGCGTGCGTGCGTGTGTGCGTGCGTGCGTGTGTGCGTGCGTGCGTGTGTGCGTGCGTGCGTGTGTGCGTGCGTGCGTGTGTGCATGCGTGCGTGTGTGCATGCGTGCGTGTGTGCATGCGTGCGTGTGTGCATGCGTGCGTGTGTGCATGCGTGCGTGTGTGCATGCGTGCGTGTGTGCATGCGTGCGTGTGTGCATGCGTGCGTGTGTGCATGCGTGCGTGTGTGCATGCGTGCGTGTGTGCATGCGTGCGTGTGTGCATGCGTGCGTGTGTGCATGCGTGCGTGTGTGCATGCGTGCGTGTGTGCATGCGTGCGTGTGTGCATGCGTGCGTGTGTGCATGCGTGCGTGTGTGCATGCGTGCGTGTGTGCATGCGTGCGTGTGTGCATGCGTGCGTGTGTGCATGCGTGCGTGTGTTACAAGCATCTCGGCAAGTACATTGAGGTAGGGGGCACTACTGGGTCTGCTGAGTGATTGTGTGTGGTGTGGTGCTTGCTGTGTGTTGTTATGTGTTGTTATGTGAGGAGCAAGCACATTGCGCCCATCATGCTCAGGTATAATCAGGTAGAGATATGAGGTGAGGTAGTGGGTGATACTGAGCGGTTCTGTGAGTTTCTGCGTGAAGAGCACTGTGCCAAATACAACCTCATCATGCCTATTTCCATGGTACTGTGCGGTGCTGTTAGTTGCTCTGTGTTGACTGAGGTATGGCGTTGAATGAGGTGTGGCGTTGACTGAGGTGTGGCGTTGACTCAAGTGTGGCGTTGACTGAGGTGTTGCGTTGACTGAGGTGTTGCGTTGACTGAGGTGTGGCTTTGCACTCGGTTAGGGGATATGATGTATTTCGTTCTCCCGCCTCCCCTCTTCTCTCCTTCCCTCCTCTCCTCATCCCCCGTCTTCTAATTCCCTCCTTGTCACCTCACATCCCACAATTTTCTCCCACCAGCACCTGCTGTTGGGAGGCGAGTTCACACCAGAGTCTCGTCAGCACTTCCCCCCCTCTTCTCCCCACATCCTCGTACCTCCATCTTCTTCACCCCACAACAACACCCTTCCCCCCAGCACCTGCCGTGAGGGGCCAAGGTCACATCACAGCGGAGTCCCTTCAGTTCTTCTCCCTGGCACTCACTCATAAGGGCGAAACTGCGTTTAATGACCCCTCACAACGTTCCCTCCCTCACTCGCCCAAATCCCCATAACCACCCATCACACCCTCCCCTCAGCACCTGCCATGGGGCGGCGAGTTCACATCAGAGTCGCTGCAGTTCTTCTCCCCGGCTCACATCTGGGCGAAGCGAAGCTGCCTTCAGCGCCCTCTCACAGCGCTCCTTATCTCCCCCAAACCCCCACAACCACCCCTTCCTCAGCACCTGCCATGGGGCGGCGAGTTCACATCAGAGTCGCTGCAGTTCTTCTCCCCGGCTCACATCTGGGCGAAGCGAAGCTGCCTTCAGCGCCCTCTCACAGCGCTCCTTATCTCCCCCAAACCCCCACAACCACCCCTTCCTCAGCACCTGCCATGGGGCGGCGAGTTCACATCAGAGTCGCTGCAGTTCTTCTCCCCGGCTCACATCTGGGCGAAGCGAAGCTGCCTTCAGCGCCCTCTCACAGCGCTCCTTATCTCCCCCAAACCCCCACAACCACCCCTTCCTCAGCACCTGCCATGGGGCGGTGAGTTCACGTCAGAGTCTCTTCAGTTCTTCTCCCCGGCACTCATCTGGGCCAAGCTTCCCCTGGATGCTGACGTCACTGCCCACGTGCTGCCCGCGTTCAAGGAGTACCTGCAGGTGCGTGGCTCAGCTTAGCTTGTCGTCGGCAATGGACAGGTGGGCTGCGGATTCCCATGTGATTCCCTATATGACCGCCCATGTGATTCCCTATATGACCGCCCATGTGATTCCCTATATGACCGCCCATGTGATTCCCTATATGACCGCCCATGTGATTCCCTATATGACCGCCCATGTGATTCCCTATATGACCGCCCATGTGATTCCCTATATGACCGCCCATGTGATTCCCTATATGACCGCCCATGTGATTCCCTATATGACCGCCCATGTGATTCCCTATATGACCGCCCATGTGATTCCCTATATGACCGCCCATGTGATTTCCTATATGACCGCCCATGTGATTCCCTATATGACCGCCCATGTGATTCCCTATATGACCGCCCATGTGCTTCCCTATATGACCGCCCATGTGATTCCCTATATGACCGCCCATGTGATTCCCTATATGACCGCCCATGTGATTCCCTATATGACCGCCCATGTGATTCCCTATATGACCGCCCATGTGATTCCCTATATGACCGCCCATGTGATTCCCTATATGACCGCCCATGTGATTCCCTATATGACCGCCCATGTGATTCCCTATATGACCGCCCATGTGATTCCCTATATGACCGCCCATGTGATTCCCTATATGACCGCCCATGTGATTCTCTATATGACCGCCCATGTGATTCCCTATATGACCGCCCATGTGATTCCCTATATGACCGCCCATGTGCTTCCCTATATGACCGCCCATGTGATTCCCTATATGACCGCCCATGTGATTCCCTATATGACCGCCCATGTGATTCCCTATATGACCGCCCATGTGATTCCCTATATGACCGCCCATGTGCTCCCCGCGTTCACGGAGTGCCGTCGAGTGCGTGGCTGACTCAGGAAAACTCCCTGCGTGGATGAGGGTAGAGAGTGTGATTTTGAAGGAATGTGAGCCCATGAGCTACCCGCGCACTCTGCCCATTTCCCCCCTGCCAGCTTTGCTCCTCCCTGCTTCCATACCCCTACCCTTCTCCACCCCCTGCCCTTCCCCCTCCCAGGCATGGTTGCGCATGGTGGACGCACATGAGCCCACCAGCGACCCAGCAGTGATGGCTGCCTTGCCCCTCCCCACTTTCATCCCGCCTCCAGCCCAACAACCCCTTCCCCCTGTCCCCCCCTCTACTTACAGGCGTGGCTGCGCACGGTAGAGACATGTGAGCCCACCAGCGACCCAGCAGTGATGTGCGCTGGCTTGCCCCTCCCCCTGTCCCCTTACTCAAAGCCTACCGTCCTCCCTCCCTGACGTCCCCCCTCCTCACTGCAAGCAGGCATGGCTGCGCATGGTGGACGCATGTGAGCCCACCAGCGACCCAGCGGTGATGGCACACAACATGGAGTCGCAGCACCGCTACATCTGCTGGCGCTCCGTCAAGGTAAGGGCCTTGCTGCTTGCGTGTTTGTCTACTTGTGTTCGTGCGTTGGGGTTTGCTGTGGACTTTGTTTCTTCTGCGGTGCTCTTACTGTGTTTTCCCTTCAATGGGTATCTGCTTCACCCGCATCTCACTGGTCTTCCTTTCACCAGCCTTACTCCCTCTCGTCTCTCTCCCCTTTGTATCTTCTCTCTCTCGCTCGCGTCTCTCTATCGCTCCTCCATCTGTTCACACGCTCGCTCATTCCCATCCAGGACCCCGGGCGGCCTCTTTTAACGCGCCTGTTTGGTTCTGAGAGATGTGAGGTGAGCTTTCCCTTCCAATCCCGCTTCTGGCTTTGGCCTCTTTCCATTTCACTGCAACTCTTGAGGGTTCACTGCGCCCTCTTTCGTGTGCAATGTAATTCCAGTTTCTTTGACGCACCATACTGCTTCCTTCGTTTGGGAGGGCACCACTACAGAATCGCTTTCGTGCCGTCAATATCATTCTCCTCTTGCTCAAACTATCCGTGCTCACTAGTGATTCACTATCATGATTCCTCTTGAGGGTTCACTATCATTCTCCATTAATGATTCTTTTCTGCGACCTTTTCCTTTTGCTTTTACCCGATCCTCCTCCACATCAGGAGTTCATAGAGGGTTAACTGTTAGCATGGCCTCACGAGCTGGGCACTAAGGCGTTTCCCCCCCCACTTCTGTCCACTCTCACGCTCCCTTCTCTTATCTTCTTCCCTATCCCCCAACCCTCGAGGAGTTCATTGAGGGGTTCTTGTTTGCAGGATCCCACGAGAAGAAAATCAAGGGCTTCCTCGCCTATTCTGCTGCATCCCTCTCTTCACGTGTCCGTCCATCCTCACGCTCCTTCTCTTCCCTCGCCTTCTCGCCCCCCTGCCAGGAGTTCATCGAGGGATTCCTGTTTGCAGGGTCGCACGAGCTGGGCACCAAGGGCTTTCTGGACTATTTCCCCGACTACCGGCAGGAGGATGGCAGCATCGCCAAGAAGCGATCCATGAAGGGCAAGGCGTACAGCAGTAGACCGTGGGATGCAAATGGCAAGCTTATTTTGTGACATAAATAACATAGTTCCGAAGATGTTTTTGTAAAATATGGCTCGAGTTGTTGGGTGCAGTGCGCATGCTGTAAAAGCAACGCATTTCTTTTTTTTTTTTTTTTTTTTAACTCAAACGCAACACCCATAAAAAGCCCCATAAAAATACTCCATAAAGAAAAAACCCAACCAGGATCCCCTACCAGACGTCCCATCTCGCACCCCATTCACCCTCGCCCCCCCCCCTCCCTCCCTCCCCCAAGTCACATCTGCACATCCACCATGTAGGGGGCCTCCACCCAAAGAGGCCCGCCCTCCACCTCGACATCGTCCCTCTCCCGATCCACCAAGTCCACATTCAACCCCCCCATGGAAGACGCCGCCCGAAGCAGGATGACACGAGCTTGCGCCCGTTGTAACGCCACTCCGATGAGCGCCTTCAGAGACCCCAAAAGGTAAGCCGAGAACGAAGTGTCATCCTCCCGACAAGCCCCCCGTGACACAGCTAGCCCCACGTGCGCGTCCCCCTGCTGTCGAAGCCACCGCCGGAAGCGACCGCCGAGACACCCCCACGTCTCCACTATCAAAGGGGTGAACTGCACGCCTCGGTTCCGTGCAAGAAGAGGCGCGTAATCCCCCGTTTTGCGACGCTCCCACTCCTTTGCCGCCACGCCTATAGACCGCCCGCACTGCCCTAGCAGAGATGGAGACAGTGATAGCGGGTCCGCGACACTAATCTCTAAAGCATGAGCCTCCCCAGCCATTGGTCGTCGCACCGCTACGTCAACCCGCTTCCCCGGCAGCACCGCACTATCCTCCATCGTCACCACCCCCCCTGACGCCTTAGCGATCTTTGCCACCGCAAACTTCACCTCATCATGCACCCGAGATGGACCGTGTTGGTGCTTGCATCTCAGCGCATGATGCGGGTCTGCTGGGTCATCATACGCTGTGCCACAAACACACCTCCCCGCCACTTGCAGCTGCTGGATTGGGAGACCAAGCCGTATAGCAGCAGCAATGCCCCACTCCGCTGCAGTGAATGTGAGATCTGAATGAGCCGGAACTGCCGAAACCCATGCACCAGCCCCCGGGCCCTGAAGGGATGTGAAACGGGCCAGGGTGGCATCGTCACGAGCCAAGCGGCGGAGTGCCTGGAGCTCCTCAACAGCCAACTGCCGCTGCCGCGCCTGGAAAAGCCGAAGAGGAGGGGCCGCCACACACAGGGGTAAGTCCGGCAGCTCCTGGCGTATAGTCGCGGGCAACTGCTCAATGGCCTTGGCAAACCACGGATTAAGAAGCTCCGCCCCCGCCGAAGTGGTGAGGTACTCTGCGAACATCGCCTCCTCGCCCGCCACCCCCAAATGTGCAATATCCCGTGCGGCCTGCGCCCACCCACAAACATAGGAGAGCGGACTCAAAGAGGCCGCCGCCCGGATCCCAAACCCTCCGAGGCGCACAGGGAGATGCAGCTGCATGCGTGCGCGCCTAGACCTGCCGGGGTCCTGCTCCCAAGTGCCAGGGGGGAAAAGCTGCTCAAAGCAATCCTCCAGACAGCTGTCCCACTCTCTAAAGGCCTCCACCACCTCCGGCCGCGGCGGCATAGTCCGGGCCAGGTACATCGGCCGTGCTGAAACTGCAATAGCGAGGAGATGCGAGGCCATCTGGGGGTGGTCGAGCAGGGGGAGCCACGGCAATGGCGCCTGCAACTCGCGAAGCCGCTTCCGTAATCGGGCCCTCTCCCAATCCTCCTCCCCAGTAGGCGCGCCCACCACAGTGAGACCCTCCTCCTCCCGCTGCATCCCCAAAGGCAATGCCCGCTCCATATCCCCACCTCCACGCTCCCAAAACCTGCACTTGTGCGCCTGCACTTCCAGCCCCACCCACTCCAACCTCTCCCGCAGCACCCCAAAAGCCTCCAGAATCCTAGCCGCTGGTCCCAGGATGTAGGTATCGTCTGCATAGCTCAAGAAAAGTAGGTCCCTGAACTCTCTAGTCACCGTCCCCAGCACCTGCTGCTGCGTGAAAGCGAAAAGAAAAGGGCCGAGCGGGTCCCCCTGTCGCGATCCTCGTGCCGACTCAAGACTCTGTACGAAAGGGCCCGCTCGGAGGTACAGGTCGCTAGGTGTCCCATAGAAGACACGCAAGAATGGGATCATTCCTGAGAAAGGCGACTCCTTCAGCCCCTCGAACATCGCGTGGCGATGAAACGAATTGAAGGCGTTCGCGACATCTATCTGCAGCGCACACCAGTCGGGGTGAGTGGCCAGCGCTGACCGGAAAGAATGAGTAAGAATCTCCACCCCGGCCCTGGTGACATGGCATTGCGGGGAAGACAAAGAGCCCTGTGTTGGTGCGTGGGCTTGCGCAGGCCTGGGGTTTTGTCACCACCACTCAATAGTACCATCATCACTAGTGTCACTTGCATCTTTACATACGGTAATAAAAACGATTGTGAATTGCCATCATAATGCTCTGCATTATTGATTTTGGTAGCTGAAGTAGCCACCCCCCCCTGCCGCTTGCAAATTATAGCTATGCTACGCATAAATTACAAAAGTAAAAAATGTATGTATGTATACCATATTGAAGAAACAAACATTTAGTTTCACATTACAGCACCAGCATGTCGGCAAACAAAACATTACGAAAACAAAACAATGAAAAACAGCCAGCAAACAAAAAAATGTGGTACAGAAATGGCAGATGCAAGATACGGCCGGCCACAAATTATTATTACATGACACTGTCACAGTTGCCCATCTGTTCCTTCTCACTTGGTCGCAGCAGCTGCCCGTGCAGCCTCTCTCTCCTTCCTAGCCTCAATCGCAGCTGCCTTCTCAGCCTGCTTCTTCTTCTTAGCCTCAATGGCAGCCGCTTTCTCTTCCTGTTTCTTTTTCTTCTCAGCAATAGCAGCAGCCTTGGCTTCCTGCTTCCTCTTCTTCTCAGCAATAGCAGCAGCTTTCTCTTCTTGCTTCCTTTTCTTCTCAGCAATAGCCGCAGCTTTCTCTTCTTGCTTCCTCTTCTTCTCCGCAATAGCAGCCGCCTTCTCCTCCTGCTTCTTCTTCTTCTCAGCAATCGCTGCAGCTTTCGCCTCCTGCTTCGCCCGCCGTGCCTCCACAGCAGCATGCTTAGCCGCAGCAGCCTGCTTCTTGGCAGCAGCAGCAGCCGCCCTGCGTGCTGTTGCTTCCTTCTGCTGCCTCGCCACCTCCTCTGGGCTCAGCACAACAACAGCCCCTCCAGAAGAACCCCCACTGCTGCCGCTGCCACTGCTGCCACCCGGGGTAGCAGTAGGAGTAGGAGGAGCAGGAGGAGGAGTGGTAGTGCCGCTCCCAGAAGAGCCCGATCCAGTCTCAGGAGGAGGAGGAGGAGTCGTGGTAACCGCGCCTGTTCCGTCACCAGCAGGGGGGGTCACAGCACACGTCCCCGCCCCTTCGTCACTCCCATCATTGCAATTCACCGTCCCATCGCAAAACAACCCCTCTGCAACGCACTGCAACCCATCCGCACACTTCTTAAACCCCTCCGGGCAGCTATACCCCCTACAAAACGCCTTATCCTCATCCTCCGCCTCAGCAGTCGCAACACAGTCCTGCACACCGTCACAGAGCGTCCCCGACGCACAGTAGAACGTCTTGGGGCACTGAATCATCCCAAATGCACACACGAAGCTCTCGCAATTCGCCTCGTCGTACCCGTCGTAACACGTGCGGTAACCGTCGCAGAAATCCTGCTGCTGCAAGCACGCGTAGCGGTCGGACGGGCACTGCTCGAGGCCCTGGTCTCCGCAGTAGTTTGTGTCATCCTGGTAGCCCTGCCGGCACTGCCGCCCCTCGTCACTGCCGTCCGCACAGTCCGCCACTCCGTTGCACTCGCTGCCCGGGGGCATGCACCCGGTGAGCGTGGGGCAGGATACCTGCCAGTGATGCAAGGGGAGGGGAAAGGGGGCAAGAAAAAAGGCATACTGCTGGTGAACATGGGAGCAGGAAACCTGGTGGCCGTCCGCGCAGTCCGCCACGCCGTTGCACTCGCCCGCCGGGGGCATGCAGCCGGTGAGAGTGGGGCAGGACACCTGGTGGGGGAAAGGGTGGGAAAACAATGGAAAGGGGGAAAAATTCACTGCCGCCCCTCGTCACTGCCGTCCACGCAGTCTCCCGCGCTGTTGCCCTCGCCCGCCGGGGGCATGCAGCCGGTGAGAGTGGGGCAGGACACCTGGCGGGGAAAGGGCGGGAAACAGCAGGAAAGAGGAGGGACGGAGATCCTGTGAGTCCGACTCTAGAACGCCGCATTTCCTAGGCGCTTAAAAAACAGGCATGCAAAAGCAGTGAGAGTGGAGCAGAAGACCTGCGGGGAAGAGGGGAAAGGGAGTGGGAAGGAGTTGCGTTTGCGGCTTTGAGCCTGACTTTGAAACACCCGTATTTCTCCGGCGGGCGCCTCAGCAATCATATGGGCATGCGGCCAGTGAGCATTGGGCAGGCCACTTGGTGACCCCAGCGCTGAGCAGGCAAACAGGGAAACAGGGGGCGGGAAACCAGGTGACTCCAGCGCTGAGCAGGCAAACAGGGAAACAGGGGGCGGGAAACCAGGTGACTCCAGCGCTGACCAGGCAAACAGGGAAACAGGGGGCGGGAAACCAGGTGACTCCAGCGCTGAGCAGGCAAACAGGGAAACAGGGGGCGGGAAACCAGGTGACTCCAGCGCTGAGCAGGCAAACAGGGAAACAGGGGGCGGGAAACCAGGTGACTCCAGCGCTGAGCAGGCAAACAGGGAAACAGGGGGCGGGAAACCAGGTGACTCCAGCGCTGAGCAGCGCTGAACAGTCGACTCAAAAGTCACTTGGTGGCCCCAGCGCTGCGCAGGAGAACAGCGGAAACAGGGGGCGGGAAATCCTTGCTTGAAGCCTGAGTCTGAACCACTGCCTTTGAGGCCCTGTTTCCCTGTTCTTCAGAGTGTGGGGTCGACCCGCGTGGCACACTAAGGCTTGCCAGGGAAGGGAGAAACCGGGCAGGAAGAACGGGCAGAGTAAACAGTTTATGTGAAATCCAACGTTTGTCGAGTTAATAGAAAGCGAGGAAGGGAAGCGTTCAGGAAGCGGCGGTGCCACCGAGAGCCGAAGTTTGAAGCAGCAAAGCACGCACCGACCTTGCGAACGAGCTCGCAGTCGAAATCGCGGCAGAATTCGGGCGACTCGTCGCTGCCGTCGGAGCAATGCGGCTTGCCGTCGCACACCTGCGATTCGTGCATGCACCCGCCGCCGCTGGGGCAATTCAGATTCCCCTGCTCCTCATGGCATTCCTCAGGTGGTTCCACCCACGGCTGGTAGTCGGAATAGTCTTGAAGGGCCCGCCGCGCCGCGAGATTCTCGACGCGGCGCGCCGCTGGTCCAGTGGCGGCGAGAAGAGCGCTGTTGGTGGGTCGAGCGTTCGCCGTCGCCGCCGGAAGGATGAGGAGGAGGAGGAAGGGGAGCGCTGTCGCGGCGGCAGCGCTGCGGCCGACCCCGTCGTATGCGGGACGTTTTGCCGCCATTTCTCCGCCAGACGGGAAAGTTAAACTTCTAAGATGTAATCAAAAGCTTTCGCTGCGTTGATCGTTCCGTGGTAACTCAGAAGTTCCAATGACGGGACTCTGAACTGCATCACAGAAGCAGACTCGGAGCTGCAATACGAGGCGTGGCATGATGATGGCGTGGTCAAGGCGAGACGATGGACCAGCGCCGTGCGCTTCCGACCTTGCAACTGCCCGCGCATCATGTTCCGCGAATGAGCGGATCCACCAGTCCGCTCCACGCTCGGAAAGTCGAAAACCCTAGTTTTGCTCGGCTGGGAGGGATGCAGCCCGACTCGAATGCGATCACGCGTCAAAAGGAATGCGATGCCTACTACAGTTACCACCTGTCACAGAGCCAGGAGCAGTGCCGGCGGAACGAGAAGCACCCGCAGTTACATGGGCAGGTTGTTTCTGAAATAGCGGCTCGCAACAGAATTGGGAGCTCTAGCTACACTGGCGTCTGCTAACGGGTATGGCTGGCGCAGGCATCCAGCCGAAAGGGGATGGAATTTGGAATCGAATTTGTACAGTGCATGCGCTGTACACGTACAGTAACCAGTTTTGAGGAAGCTGAATGTCCTGCACAGTGAACAATTGGCCCCAGGTGGATTGCAGGTGGACCAAGGCCTAACCAGATGGTACGTGTGGGGCGTGGATGATCACAGTTCTGGTGGAACTCGTTTCAAGCTTATCCACTTGAGAAGTGTAGCCGTGTAAAAACGTTCTTTTACATGGGTACCAATTCTTATTCAAGTATTTACTAAGTGCTTTTTCGTCAATTCGTCAACTTTCGCCAAAGTCTTCCGTCACGTTTCATCCTCGACTTAGTCGACCCCGCAAGTCATTAACGGATCTTGGCCAAGGAGCCTAACAGGTGTAGTCTGGTATGGTGTACGCTGTAACAGGTTAGGTGATGCGAGGCGACTCCCACACCACCCACCTCCCACGCAGAGCCGCTGATTGCAAGTGCCTCGGGTGATACAAACGAACCTTTTCTGTCGCCCTCCCCTTTTACAGGAAACTTCATAAAGCATAGCAAGGCGAATCGATCGCAACCGTCCCTGACCGTCAAAACAAAAAGGTGCTGTGCAGTTGTCGGTGAGGAAGAAGAAGCCAGTTGGCACCCTCTTATACGGCGATATCAGGGGCCAACATCACAAGTGATTTGTCGCCTGTCGTACTCACTGGCGACATGGGGATTGCGATTCGTTTCCACAAACTCACAGAAGCGGAGCAGCCCGGAATGTGGGTTGGTCTGTAATCTCGCGACTCGGCCAAAGTCATGAAAGGGCGCAGCAGATTGGCTTGCGCATCCCAAGCTTGACAAGCGGCGCGCAACTCTCACGACTCACAAGACAATTCTCCTCGTTATCGTCTCAGCGTCCTTCCCCACCCCTCCTTCAAGACGATGCGACAGATGCCTTGGCAATAGAAGCTAAGAGCGTATGTGCAACAACGCCACTTAAAAAGCCCTTCTCTTTTTCTCTGTCATCGCGCCCATTTTCCTAAGTCGGCTCCTCCTTATCCTAACGTTCCCGCAAATCTGTCACCAAACGCGAATAGCAGCCCTGTCTTCTGCCAATCGTTTCTTCTCTAAGAACCATGCCGACGAGCCGCCTATTGATTCTAGGCATGCTGCTCGCGTGCGTGGCGACGGCGGCAGCGAAGTATGACGGTTCGTTCGACAAGTACATGTCTCTGCCCGACTTTTGCAAGTGGGACGGCGGCTGCTCTCGCCAATCCGACGGTTCCGTGAAGCTCACCGCCTACTCGAATAAGATGGGCAGTGAGTGTTTTACGGGCAGTAATTGCATTGCGGGAAGGGAATGCACTACATGCAGTGTGTGCATTACGGGCAAGGAGAACAGCGAGTGCGTTACGATCGGTCAACGATCGCAAGGAGGGCAAGCTGAGGGTAGTACAGGCACTGAGTGGGAGGATATTATGTTCCAAAGTCTTTTTATGAGTCGACTCAAAACAGGCACTGCGTAGGTGAGCATTATTTTCCTAAGTATCCCGAAGCTCCTCGCAATATCTAGTGAACGGTGAGCTCATTACCTACACCGCAAAGGGATCGGACGATGGAAGGCTAAAATGGTTCCTCTTCATCCGTCTTCGCTCTTGCGACGAACACCCCAACCCGCCATGTGCACCCAATTCTCCCTCTATTGCCATCCCAACCCACATCGACTCGTCCCGCTTGGCCCCTAAACTCGCCCGTTTCGTTCTAAGGAAATAATTTCCCGGAAGGGTTTCCCGTACATCTCCTTCCTCTTGCGACCTCCTAACCACCGTTTCCCCTCCCCCCCCCCCCCCCCCCCCCCCCCCCCCCCCCCCAACCCCCCCTCTCTTAATGCGGCAGAGTTCAGCTCCAAGGGCTACTTCGGGTACGGCATTTTCCGAGTCAACATGAAGCTCCCTTCGGGCTACTCCGGCGGTTTGATCCCCTGCCTCTACCTCATCTCGGGGAACAACCCGAAATACACCGACCCGCACGACGAGATCGACCTGGAATTTATCGGGGGAAATACCCCCAAGGATATTATTCTGCACACGAATCTGATCACGGGCGGGCAGGTGTACCTGCAGCAGTACAAGTTCCCCTTCGATCCGTCGGCCGCGTTCCACACCTACACCATCGTCTACTCGCCGGATTACGTCATGTGGGCCGTCGATGACACCCCCATCCGCATCCACTGGAAGGAGAGCGGCCGCCCCTTCCCGTCGCAGAACGTCAAGTTCGAGGTACGGACTTCATCAAGTTTTGGCTAGCGTTCCGAGATCCATTGTTGTCACGTGCTTTTCAAAGCTTTTTATGTCGCCCTCCCCTTCCCTCCTCACCCAATTGTTATCCTCCACGCATCCCAAACACGCCAGGGGTCGATCTGGGACGCGTCGTCGTGGAGCCAGCTGAAGCCCAACTGGATGCTGTCACGTGCTTTCAAAGCTCACTTTCGCGCCCTCCCGTTTTCCTGCGCCCATTGCTATCCCTCCCATTTCTGTATCCCGCCAGGGCTCGATCTGGGACGCGTCGTCGTGGAGCCAGCTGAAGCCCAACTGGGGCAACGGGCCCAAGGAGGTGATTTTCCGCCGCTTCGACGTGCGCCGCACGTGCAAGGCGTCGGGGCAGACGGGCACCCCGTGGTGCAACAGCCTGCAGGGCAACAAGGCCCCCTGGACGCTCAAGCCCAGCGCTGCTGCTATCGCGCGCAGCAACGAGTTCCGGAAGAACTACCTGGTGAAGGACTACGGCTGGTCGAAGATATAAAGAGGATCTGTTGGTGCTTTTTTCGGGTGGTGGTATGGCGAGGGGTGCACTTGAGAGCTAGTTCTTTGTCAATTTTGATGCTATTCTTCCCGGAAGTCCTGAATAAGTTCATGAGGATTAGACGAGTGTTTCTGGATCTACTGTAGAAATAGAGCACCAAGTGAAGCTAATAACGTATCAACCGCGTGCTGTTTGCCATCCATCCATGCTGTTGGTTTAATAATGGACATTCAACGAAGCATACCTGGACAGCAAAATGATGTCCAATCAGCTGCTGCTACTCAACTGATTAGCTCAATCAGCAGAGAAGAGAGAGAAGTCGGGAGAGCATAAGTGTAAGAGTCCCACAAAGCGTCGTGGTAGTAGGAAGAAGACACCATGGCTTAAGACGGGGAGGGAGGATGGCGACGGGGAGAGAGAAAACTGCGAAGTTTGTCGAGCAACCAAGGGATGGAAGGGAGGGGGGAGAGGAGAGGTCCTGAAATATTTGCGTGGGCAGGAAATCAATGGATGCCAACTTGGCCAACTTTGCCAAGTTTGACAAGGAAGAGGAACACAGGGCTGAGCAATTAGTCCTGTCGGAGAAGCCCCAAACCGGCAAACGGCTCGTCGGGCATTGAGTGCAGCGAGATGATTAGAGGGATCGACAGCCCCCATGCCTCCGTGCTTAATGTGGTTGTCGAGCAGGTGTTCAGTTTGCAAGCTGCATCCGGGCTTGGGAGTGGACCTCCTCGCAGCTGCTCCCATGGCCACCCCTCATTTATCAGGGCTGGCTGCATTAACCATCCAGAAATACCCCAACCCAACTGGAGCTCTGGGCATGCGATGCCTGTGATAATTACGACGACGAAGGTGACGAAAATAAGAAAAGTGCCATTAAGAGTGTGATGACTAGGAAGCGACTTCATGGAAGACTCTACGCCATCCCTTCGTTGTGGGCGCAGGCCACATGTTCCTGCCTGCCATACCATGCTGGACCCGGGCCTCACACACATACAATGCCTGCGGCCACAACGGTACCAGAGCTCCCTGCCTGAGAAGGATGCAAACCGTGCAGAAAAGGCTCTGGGGGCGGTCAGATCCTGCAGGACATGCGCCGCGAGTTTCTGGGGGTGCCGCCGCTTGTGCCTCTCGCCGTGTGCAACCTCAGCCTCCCCACAAATACCCTGCTGTGCCTGCATGGCTACCTGCAGGACACGCACACAGTTACCAACTGCTAAATACTTCAAAACCAATTTGTAAGAAAATATATTTTATTCTAACAGATACAGCAACACGGTGCACGAGGGCACTTTATTATAATATTTCCCAGTCTTCCAACAGAAACCTATTGCTGAAGCACACCTGCAATGCAAGCACTCACAGGGCCTTGCCGTGATTTTCCCAGACCACAGCCCCAAGCAGCAACCTTAGCGAGACATACGTAGCCAGCACCAACACAATCTACCTAAGGTCAGCTAAGAAGGCTAACAACGAAGTACGCGAACTATCAGCTCTAGGTCAAACCTTTTTCGCCATACCACCACCCGGAAAAGGCACCAACAAACCCTCTTTATATCTTCGACCAGCCGTAGTCCTTCACCAGGTAGTTCTTCCGGAACTCGTTGCTGCGTGCAATAGCGGCCGCGCTGGGCTTGAGCGTCCAGGGGGCCTTGTTGCCCTTGAGGCTGTTGCACCACGGGGTGCCCGTCTGCCCCGACGCCTTGCACGTGCGGCGCACGTCGAAGCGGCGGAAAATCACCTCCTTGGGCCCGTTGCCCCAGTTGGGCTTCAGCTGGCTCCACGACGACGCGTCCCAGATCGAGCCCTGGCGGGATACAAAAATGGGAGGGGTAGCAATGGGCGCAGAAAAACGGGAGGGCGCGATAGTGAGCTTTGAGAGCACGTGACAACATCCAGTTGGGCTTCAGCTGGCTCCACGACGCGTCCCAGATCGAGCCCTGGAGCGTTTGAGGGGGGATGATACGAGTGGGTGAGAGGGAAAGGGGAAATCGAGATAGTAAGCTTGGAAAGGCACGTGACGGCATTGTATGTCGGAACGCTAGCCGAAACACGCGTAGGGAAAGAACGGAGAGCGCAATCCGAAGCAAGCCCATACCTCGAACTTGACGTTCTGCGACGGGAAGGGGCGGCCGCTCTCCTTCCAGTGTATGCGAATCGGCGTGTCATCGACAGACCACATGACGTAATCTGGCGAGTAGACGATGGTGTAGGTGTGGAACGCGGCCGACGGATCGAAGGGGAACTTGTACTGCTGCAGGTACACCTGCCCGCCCGTGATCAGATTCGTGTGCAGAATAATATCCTTGGGGGTATTTCCCCCAATAAATTCCAGGTCGATTTCGTCGTGCGGGTCGGTGTATTTCGGGTTGTTGCCCGAGATGAGGTAGAGGCAGGGGATCAAACCGCCGGAGTAGCCCGAAGGGAGCTTCATGTTGACGCGGAAAATGCCGTACCCGAAGTAGCCCTTGGAGCTGAACTCTGCGGCGATGAGGGGAGGAGCGGAAGAGAGGGACGGAAGGGGGCGTGAGGAGATGGCACGCGCGAAGGGAATACTTGAGACACCTTGGCGACACGTCATACGTCAAACCCTATCGGTGGTTGCGGAGAGGAAGGGCGGAATGGATTGTGCTTAGGACACAAGGGATGCGGTGGGAGTTGGTTGCGGGTTAGCGGACGGCTGAAGGAACAGGTTCAACTGTCTTAGCTTCCATAGCTCGATTCATGTGCGGTGAACGAGAGGAAACGTGATGCCCTCCAATCGTAACCTACTCACTCGATGCCGGAAACCCCTTCCGACTTTGTAGTGCATTCCGCGATCCACTCATGGCCCGTTATGCTCTAAATCGAATTCCCTGTATTGTGCTCCCTGCACCCTTTGCCCGTAAAGCACTCACTGCCCATCTTATTCGAGTAGGCGGTGAGCTTCACAGCGCCGTCCGACTGGCGAGAGCAGCCGCCGTCCCACTTGCAAAAGTCGGGCATCGTCATTTGCTGGTCGAACGATGCATCGTACTTCGCCGCTGCCGCCGTCACGCACGCGAGCAGGGCGACCAGAAATAGGAGGCGGCTCGGCGCCATGGCTCTGAAATACGGAAGTGCTATCAGATTAGACTAAGGGAAGACTCTGAGGGCGGGTTGACGCTTATGATGGAACGGAAGTGGCTTGTTGGCATGATGGAACATTGAAAATCGTGTGCATATTTAAATGGTTTCGTAATGTCCTGGTTTGCACGCAATCAGCATCTCAGGCGCGTGTCGCGTTGACCAGGTGAACATGAGGCGAGCAAAACCTTGCGCAAGCAAGCACACTAGGGCAGTGGGTTCCGGTGCGCGACCGCGAGATGCAAAAGCGCAACCAGAAAGCGACCCAGTGCAAGCCAAGTCAATGCGCTTTTTGACAACTTGCCTGGGCTTCAGACGGAGCGGAGTCGCAAATGCATTTCACATTCTCGCCTGCTCCGCATGTGTAGGTGTGCGGCGATCTTCAAATCCCGCGTCGCTAAAAGTAGCGACACGCGATTGATGTACATTGCAGTGCGCTAACTGGTTGGGCCTCAGATCCCTTTATAAGAATGTGCCACCTGGCGTGCATCCTACGGGTAGACATCTGCAAGCAGGCCGCCATCCAAATCTTGACGGTCTGAACGGTGGAAATTGATTGGGGTTTACATTGCTCACTTGTATCACACAGATTGCTTTTCAATCAGCAGCTACGTGTACATGACCTGTTTTACAACTCTTAGAATCCAGTCACTTCTAACCTTTACAATCTAAGAGTTAACACTAGGGGTGTAAAACATCCTGAGAATGATTGTTGGGTTCGGACAGTTAACGCTCTGGACCGTACACAGCCTCTTTAAAAAATTGAACTTCGATAGCATTGCGCAGGTGTTCCACGCCCTCATGGGAAAGGGAAAGAAGCAAAGATAAATTCGCACACACACATACTCATGCACATGCACCCACGTGCACACACATGCGCGTGCATGCATGCACACACACAGACACACACACACACACACACACACACGCACGCACACACACACACACACACACACACACACACACACACACACACACACACACACACACACACACACACACACACACACACACACACACACACACACACACACACACACACACACACACACACACACACACACACACACACACACACACACACACACACACATGTCAGAATCTCAGTCACTAACCACTGGGATAAAAGGGCTTATTTGTGTAGCGGGTGAGTGCGCCCATAACCCCCCAGGCCAACGTGCCTGTAACCCTTCCTTAGGATCAATCGGGGATCACTAGTGGACCTCTGACAACACACACACGCAGGTTAATAGTCTCTCAATTCGGTAATTTTATCACATATCTTGACGGTATATATTCAAAACATGAGTTTTTTTTTCTTGTAACATTCTCGGTAGGTTACATTTCGTGCTCTTCGCCATTATGATTTGAGCAAACTTATCAACGATATGCGCATTCCAGTATGGCTCCTGTAAAAAATGACAACAAGACGACTAACAAGACGACATAGCAGAGTACTTAAAAAATGTGTTGTACCCTTTATGTAGCAACTCCAACTAGCTCTACATACTGCTCCTAGACATATGCAAAAAAGTGTATTGTGACACCCCCTATGATAGGAAAGAGGCAGCGCCAACATAAAGAGAAGCAACTCAGGGTGGCACTACTAGTACAGCCGCTGAGACATGACACACCCCCTATGATAGGAAAGGGCCAGCGCCAACACGAAGAGAAGCAACCTAGGGTGGCACTATTAGTATAGCCGCTGAGACAAAATGTCACAAGGCTAGTCAATGTGTACACACACACACACACGCACACACACACACACACACATACATACACATACACATACATACACACACACATACGCACACACACACACATACACGCACACGCACGCACGCACACGCACGCACACGCACGCGCACGCACACGCACACACACACACACACATACACAAACACAAACACGAACACAAACACACACACACACACATAGACTCACAAACACACACACACTCTCGCTCTCTCTCTCTTACACACACACACACACTGTGAGGATCTTAGGATCGAGCTCAGAAAAGAGAATGTAAATTGAATTATGCACCTGGGTACAAGGCGAGGCTATATATAGGCTCGACACAAAGCAGGTAACCCAGGTGTTACGCGAATGTTCTGAGGGTCGCGAAGCGTCCCGAACAGAACCTTCCCGAACTCGGTAGAAAGCAATTCGGTGGCAACCGAATAAGCTTGAGTTCGGTACACGTAACCTGGTTCGGTGCTATAACTATAATAAAATATAGGAATGCACCTAACCTAGGAAATCAAGCATAACTATGCATGATAAAATAAACCTAAGCTAGTAATAGCATAATAAAGTCCAGGCAAGCTAGCAAAGCCAGCATAAGCCGTCGTACTCTCACACGTCCCCCCCTCAAAGCTGGGTGGCGTGAGATACACCCTGCTTGACAAGATAGTCCTTGAGAGCACGGCGTGCGTTGCCCATATCAGCTTCTGGCACCCAACTGTCCTCAGTGGGGTCGTATCCCTTCCAGCGTATCAGGAACTCGAGGGTCTTGCCGCCGCGGCGCTGATGAGTGAGAACGCGCTCGATCTCGTACTCTGGTTCGTCCTGCACAAGTACAGGTGGTGGTGGCGGTAGCTGCCGTCCCTGGAACTGTTGGTTGGGGTCCTTGTAGGGTTTCAGTAGCTGAACATGGAAAGTGTTGTGAAGCTTCCACGTATCTGGTAAGCGCAAGCGGAATGTTACTGGTCATCTGTGCCTCCACGAGAAAAGGACCACAGAAGCGAGGCCGGAGTTTGGATGGTAGGTGAGACAGGTTCAAGTTGCGCGTGTCAAGAAGCACCTGATCTCCGACTGCTACTGAGTGATCTCGTCGCTGGCGATTGGCATACTGCTTCTGGGAGTTCTGCATCGTGGTGAGACGTCGCTGAGTCTTCTCCCATAGCTGCTGCATGGTGGTGACGAAGTCGTGTGCGGCTTGGACGTGTGCCGGTGTAGTTGGCTGTTGTGGGGTGTGTGGTTCCCGTTCGTAACACAGGAAGAATGGTGTTTTCCCTGTGGCCGCATGTGAGGCGTTGTTGTAAGCGAACTCTAAGGTCGGTAACTGTGTGTCCCAGTGGCTGACGTCGTCTTTGCAAGCTGTGCGCAGTAACTGTTCAACCACCTGATTGAGTCGCTCTGTCTGTCCGTCAGTCTGGGGATGGTATGCTGAAGACATCGCAAGCTTAGTCCCCAACAGTCCCATAAGCTCCTTCCAGAACTTACTCGTGAATTTTGGGTCTCTGTCTGAGATGAGTGTAGCGGGGATGCCGTGGATGGTAATGATGCGGTCGAAGAAGAGTCGAGCAGTTGCTTCAGCAGTAGCTGTGGCGTTGGTCGGTATGAAGTGACCCATTTTGGAGAACTTATCGATGACTACGAGGATGGAATCGTGTCCCCGTGAGGTCGAGGGAAGTCCTGTGATGAAGTCGAGACTAACGACCTGCCATGGCTGCTCCGGTACGGGTAGAGGCTGAAGTAACCCTGCTTTTTTCTGCGTGCTAGTCTTCATCCGCTGGCACGTGTCGCAGGAGGTGACGAACTGCTGCACGTCTGCTGCCATCCGAGGCCAGTAGTAATACTTTGCTATTCTCGCTAACGTCTTGTTGCTCCCGAAATGTCCTGCGTATGATACGTCGTGAAACTCCTCTAGAAGGATCTGCCGTAGCGGGGCATAATTCGGTACCCAAATCTTTCCTGAACCCTTCCTTACCGCTAAGTCTTTCTCCCACTGTAACAACTTCTGTTTCTCTGCCGTTGCTATCTCGCCGTCCACGGAGTACCCATGTTGGAATAGACCCTTGAGGAGAGGGTTCATCCCGTCGAGCTGGATGCCTGCTACATGACCTGGGCGGCTCAACGCGTCAGCCTTGTTGTGGAGCCCGGGTTTGTAGACGATGTCGTAGTGGAAGTGGGTCTCCAAGAAATCCACCCACCGCACCTGTCGTCGTGAGAGCGTCGGCTGCGACTTCAGGTACTTAAGACTGCAGTGGTCAGTGTATACTGTGGTCTTGGCTCCCTCTAGGTAACACCTCCATGCCTTGAAGGCTACGACTATAGCTAAGGCTTCCTTGTCGTGAATGGGGTAGTTCAGTTCTGCTCCGTGTAACTTCTTACTGAGGTAGGCGATAGGCTGTAAACCGTTCCCGTGATCCTGCATCAGTACTGCTCCAACTGCCTGGTCACTAGCGTCTGCTTCAACTACGTAGTCCTTCTCGGGGTCCGGTAGGATGAGTACTGGCGCTGTGGTCAGTGCTGTCTGTAGCTGTTCCATGGCTTGCTGATGAGGAGTACCCCATTTGAAGGGCGTGTCCTTTTTCAGTAGGTCGGTCAGTGGCGCTGCTATCTTAGCGTACTGCGGCACAAACCTGTTGTAGTAGTTGGCAAAGCCGAGGAACTGCTGCAACTCCTTCACGTTCTCTGGAACTTTCCACTTTTTAACGGCTTCGATCTTCCGCGGGTCCACGTGTACGCCCTCGGCACTCACCATGTGCCCGAGAAACTGCACCTTCTTCAGTGCGAAGTCGCTCTTTGACAGCTTCACGTAGAACTTATTTTTCCGCAGGATCTCGAACACCTTCCGCAGATGCTCCACGTGCTCCTTCATGTTCTTGGAGTAGATGAGAATGTCGTCCAGGTACACCACTACGCACTCGTCCAGCAGGGGCCGTAGGATATGATTCATCTCCGCCTGGAACGTCGCTGGTGCGTTGCAGAGTCCGAACGACATCACCAAGTATTCGTAGGAGCCATATCTGGTACGGAACGCCATCTTGTGGATCGAGTTGTCCGCCATCTTGATCTGCCAGTAACCCGACCGTAGGTCCAGCTTCGAGAAGACTGTTGCACCACGCAGTTGGTCCAGTAAGTCGTCGATGCGCGGTATGGGGTATTTGTTCTTGACTGTCTGTTTGTTCAGTGCGCGGTAGTCGATGCACATCCGTAAACTGCCATCTGGTTTCGGTGTGAAG